AGACTGGCATCCCGTCCAGGGTGTACCCCAGCCCTGTGCCCCTGACAGACTGGCATCCCGTCCAGGGTGTACCCCAGCCCTGTGCCCCGTGAGCCGCACAGACCTTTCCAAACGCAGCATGTTCACTAAGTAAACGAATGACGTTACAATGTGGTCGGGGCCCGGCTTAGGCGTGTCCGCTCTCTTTCGTTTGCCGTTTCTGTGGAGTTTGGTTTTGTATATTGACACTAAACTGTGGACTTGAGATCGGGTAACTTTTAAGTGTCCCGGTGGCTCCTTGATTGACTGATGGACGTGCAGAGGTCTCTGTTTATCAGAGTCTGGTCTACTGCTGTCTTTATCTTTTCATGTTTGTTTTAGTGGAATTACAGGCTATGGAAAAGATTAGTCTACAGTGAGCTGCAGAAACAAACAAATGTAGGGGACATAGTGAGGGGGCGCTGTGAGCGAGCGTCTTACACCGGCGTCCCTGTAGGGGGCGCTGTGAGCGAGCGTCTTACACCGGCGTCCCTGTAGGGGGCGCTGTGAGCGAGCATCTTACACCGGCGTCCCTGTAGGGGGCGCTGTGAGCGAGCGTCTAACTCAAGCGCCTGCAGCGTATTTCGATGCTAGCTCTCTGGTTTTCGGTTGTGGGTCACCTGTTTCTGAGCGGAAATGGAGACCAAACGCGAGATGTTTCTCCCACAGCACTGATCTCCTAGGAAGAACCAACAGGCTGTTTTAGTTGGGAACACGTTTTGTTCCCGGGAAACTTTTTCCACAGAAGTGGAAACATGGCTGGAAACATCGGCCTGGCATGTTGGGCCGGCGGATTGTCCCATCGGCGTTCTGGGAAATGTTGTAGGAAAGATCTGTGAGGCATGGGGTGGGGGCACGTCAGCAGGTATCTCTCACTGTCATTCCCATGAGGTCCATCTCCTTTAACCCCCCCCCCACCCCATTACATGGCTGTCAGTAAATCGGCGGGGGTTGCACACTTTGGTATCTTGGTGAATGTTTTCCAGCTGTTGAGCCAGTCAGGCTGCAGCACAGACTACAAAGACGGACTAGCGGTGCCAGGGACCCCCCCGCCCCCCCCCTCAGCAGCAGG